AAACCTTGTATTTTAACCGGTGTTTTCTTTGTGGCCGATTTAAATTTATTTTTATGGGTTGGTATTGAATTTATAAAAAATACATTCAGATGGTTTTATTAATAAAATTACATATTTTTCTTAATTTTAGGTTTTCAAAACATCTGGATCTCTGTTTACCATGCTGAAATCCATGGAAGCTTAACATATTTTATTTTCATAAATGATTATATATTAAGAGGATTTATCTGTCTCAATACTTTTTTTCTTAAATATTTGCAAATATAATAATCATAGCTTTTAAAAGAATTGTCTATTAATTTTGTTGGTTAAAAAAGTATTCTTTAGAGTGATAAAATCTCTAGGAATCTGAATTATTTGAAATATTAAATGAACTAGAGTTCGCCCCGCGGCCGAAATTCGACCGGAACCATTGAAGGAAAGATTGCAGACTTATGCTGCAAAATAAATCCCTACTTTTATAGTTCAAATGTCTGAAAAAAAATTCCTATTATCAAAGTGTAAAACTTGCTTTGATCAACGTATTCTTTTAGAAAATGTGATAAAATTTGGTTAAATTCTGAAAGAAGTTTAAAATCTAAGTTCTAAAATTATTTATGCAACATATTTTTCAAAAATATTTCGATTTTTTATCCTCTACATAAATGTTCATAAAATCTATGCAAAACTTACAATATGATATATGTATTCATTCCTTACAATATGATATTTCCCTGTGTTTAACAATCTGCCAATTCCTCCAGCAATCATCCATGCTTCTTGTAGTAAACAATGTCGAACCTGCCCAGCACTATTCCTTTGTAACCTGTAATAATATTCAACCTATATCTCTATATTCCAGCAAAAAAAAGAAAAGACCTACAGAAGTGATGTTTTTAACACAGATTATTTATAGGCGGAATGTCTCTTTTATTTGATTCCAAATTCATTACTCCTGAAGTCATTCTCAAGAATTAATTTTTATAATATATTTTTTATAGTTATTTGGAAGTGAAATTGTAGTTCTTTACTTTACTGTTGTTAAGAGGAATCAGAAAAGTACAAAGCCCTAAAAATATTTTCAATAGGGCTGTAACAATTGAATTCGAAAAATGATTATTTGTTGACATGACCAACTAAACTATCCAAATTTGTTTTTAGTTTTTTTTTTATCTGACAGTTAATAAAATCAAAAATAGATATATTCTCAAGAGCGCACAGAATCCAAATCTATTACCTTTTTTTCAAAACAAAGTACATTGCAAATTATGATCTAACAACATTTTATTTAAAATTCAATTTTTCAATTATTGCTATCAGGACTGTAAAAGGATTTCATTCCGATCAAAAGTGGAATGAAACCACTTTCAATTTTTAAAGTAGGATGTTTTAAATTATTTTTTTTTAAGTTTTAATAAATATCTTTACCAAAATAACTCCATTTCAGATCGGAATGGGATTTTCGAACAGGGGTATATATAGTATATATTATCTCTGTAAGAAATAAGAAAAATTTACTGTCTTTAGTATAAAAAGTCCATCTTTCAGGTTTATGTTGTATAAACTCTCCCTTATAACACTCAATAAAGACTTCTTTCAGCTGACTTACTACTTATTTGGCTTAAATTTAAATGTATTTTAATCGAATTTAAGAGTAGATATTCTATGAAGTTGTACTACTTATAGGCCCTTAAGCGAAGACCTTTTAATAGGCATTCTATTAGCTTTCGCATAGAAGTGCATAGGCAAGAGAGATTTTGCAACAGGGATAGATTTTTTTATCTGGAGAATAAGACTTAAACGCCTCTTTACTTCAAGAGTTTGTCCATGATTTAGTTATTATTTAATTTTTCATAATTATTTAATTACTTCATAAAAAATGTTTGAAAGAAAACGTTAATAAACTATAAATTCCAGCCTTATATTAACATATGTAAGTTTAATTGCAAGTAAAATAATAATAAACGATAATTTGCTAAAGATGGTATTAGACGACATGTATTTTACTCTAACACCACCTTAAGTAGGGGCAGCCATCAACCCAGAAGACATGATTTGTATTTGTCCCGTTTCAACTTTTTACTATTTTTATAAAACATATAATAACCATCGCCTACACAAACTACAGTTTTCACTTTACACTACTATTTCTATAACCGCCTTTTTCCTAATTGGTAAGAATAACCCAAAAAAGAAGACTATCATCAAATCCTCACTGTGCTAAACCTACGTATTTGCGATATACTGATTCATTTATTACGGTGTATCATGTACCGACATGACCAAATAAACTATCCTACTTACATATATTTTAACAGGCTTTGTTTTTGTCCATCATTAAAATCTTTAAAATCAATAAAAACTAACATTTATGTAGAATTGTTGTCCCACCAATGTTTTCCCAGGTCAAACATCATCATCCTCTTGTATCTTACATCATTAATATAATAACATATCATTATTACATTCACAATTTATCACTTTACACTTTTAAAAAATAAAAAACAATAAAATCATATTTTCGCTTTGCCTAAGCCCGTCTGTATACATATTAGTTTACAAAAATCTTATTAAAAAGAACAACAAAAAATATCATTGCGAAATACAAAAATACAAATATCAACAGAGAAGTAACATGTTTTTACACTCTCCTCTCTTTTATGAAAAAAACAGTGTTGTTGTTTTGCATTCTTATTTTGTTTTCTATTTTTTAATTCAAGCACATGTTTGTGTGATTGTGTATTGGTAGAAACTTTAAACGCTTATATTTCCGAAAATACTGAACCGATTTTAATCATATATAGATTCTGCAGTGAGGCTCACGAATCTACATTCATCAAAAAAAGAATCAAGAAAATCGGTCAAGTAATAGAGCCGGAAAATGTTCCCAATCGTTTTGGCTTTGCGTATTTATATATATGATGATGATGATGATAACAATGAGATTCGGAATACATAAAATTAATTAACTCTACTCATTACGGAATTGGTTATAAGTTAGCCTTATTTGCCTAACTTGGTCCTTTATGGCATTGTGGATTATGATTCGGCCAACTGTTCGGCCAATATTCCAAGATTTGCAAAAATATCAACACGGTCTTCTACAGATCTTTTCTTTTCACAATTTGATCCGATAACGTAACATACCCCCTTCGGCCGCCCGCATTTTGTGCACCGTAATTTTATTTCTAATCATCTGACTTTGCTTTGCGGGTTTTTTGTCGGGGTTCCCACTCCTAGCGTATTATAACTAACCGCCAGGTGAGGCATAGTCGATTCTAACATAAACGCACGTGCCGACCATGGAGCAGTCCGCTCTTGAACAATCGCTTCTGGATTTTGGCAATTTAGTTTGACTGGGAAAACACGCAGTCAATCTCCTAATGAATCTTTCTAGAGGGCCATGTCACAGATCAGCCTTCAGGCTTTTGTTTTTTGCCACACCTTTAGGCCGTTCAGCTATCCGCCACCCGATGACCCCGATAGTGGACTGGGCTTAACCTACTCTAGACTATAGATTAAACTATAGACCAGATTAAAGAATAGACTATAGACTAGACTATAAACTAGACTATTGACTAGACTATAAACTAGACTATAGACTAGGCTAAAGACTAGGCTGTAGACTAGACTATAGGCTGCACTACAGACTAGACTATAGGCTACACTATAGATTAGACTATAGGCTACACTATAGATTAGATTACAGACTAGAATAAAGACTAGAATATAGACTAGACAATAGATATATTAGACTAAACTACGGACTGCACTATAGACTAGACTACAAAATAGACTAGCCTATAGACTAGACTATAGACTAGGCTATAGACTAGGCTAGCCTATAGCCTAGACTATAGGCTAGACTACAGACTAGACTAAAGGCTACACTATAGACTAGATTATAGGCTACACCATAGACTAAACTATAGGCTACAATATAAACTAGATTACAGACTACACTATAGACTACAACATAGACTGGACAAAATATAGTTTAGACTATAGATATAGTAGACTATACTACGGACTAGACTATGGACTAGACTATAGACTAGACTATAGACTAGACTAGACTCTAGACTAGACTATAGACTGGACAACATATAGTTTAGACTATAGATATAGTAGACTAGACTATGGACTAGACTATAGACTAGACTATAGACTAGACTATAGACTAGACTATAGACTAGACTATACACTAGACTATAGACTAGACTATAGACTAGACTATAGACTAGACTATAGACTAGACTATAGACTAGACTATAGACTAGACTATAGACTAGACTATAGACTAGACTATAGACTAGACTATAGACTAGACTATAGACTAGACTATAGACTAGACTATAGACTAGACTATAGACTAGACTATAGACTAGACTATAGACTAGACTATAGACTAGACTATAGACTAGACTATAGACTAGACTATAGACTAGACTATAGACTAGACTATAGACTACACTATAGACTAGACTATAGACTAGACTATAGACTAGATTATAGACTAGACTATAGACTAGACTATAGACTAGACTATAGACTAGACTATAGACTAGACTATAGAATACACTATAGACACATATAATATACTATAGACTAGACTATAAATAGATTTTATTTAAGTTATATTATTGTACAAAATAACATACATACATATAATTTAAATTAATTACGGTACTTACACATTGACATTTGTTTATTTAATGGGAGTTGCCAACAATTTAACACACAAACGGCAATATATCAAAAGAGTTCAAATATTATGAACATAACCATAACCGAATCATAATGAAGGCCACTTTCGGCAGAAAATATTCTTAAATTTTCGTCCGAAAAACGCAACAACAATGTTTTTTAAATCAGCTCCAGATGCTGTACCCAAACAGGAGGGGATTAGGCGTTATTTTTTTGTACAATCTATTAGTTTTGCCGCTATAGGTATTGATCCTACCTCATTGGAAAGAACAATTGTCAGTAGGTGTATGGCTTGCTTGCCAATGATGTGTACAATGACTCTCTGCATTCCCGTTATCATCTATGTCAGTCAATATATAAACGATTTGTATCTAGTAACCGATGCTTTATCGCCCATTTGGCAAGCAAGTTTGTCTTTTCTGAAAATGATTTATTTTATTTGGAATAAGAAAAAAATTGTTAAATTGGTGCGTAGAATATGGCTGTTGAATGTGAAAGGTAAGTGGAATGTGTGATTCTCAGAGAGTTTAGTAGTTATGGCTGATTCAGTTTTTTGGTATTGATTCCACCTCATTGGAAAGAATAATTTGCAATACAATTTGCAATTTTGATGTCGAATCTCTGCTTTCCGATTGTCATATACGCCAGTCAATATATATATAAGCGATTTGGATCTAGTAACGGATGCTTTGTCGCCCATTTGACAAGCAAGTTTATCTAAAATGAATTCGGAATAAAGAGAAAATTATAAAATTGATGCGTGGAACATGGCTAATGAATGTGAAAGGTAAGTGGAAGTTTGATGTTAATTACGAATTTTGTTGGATTAATTAAAGTTTTACTTGTTTACTCGGCTTAGAAAGTGGTTGTTAAGGGTTATTGCTAGAATTTAAGTTGGTTGAAGTTCTGTTAAGCTTGATGGTTATAAACTTTAATAAGAAAATTTAATTTTTGTTTTTTGTATTTTTCAGTTACTGATGGAGATTTGAAAATATTACATGAGGAAAATCGTAGAGATACAACATTTTCTATGGTTTACTATATATTAGTTTTTACAACAGGTGTATTGGCTTTGGTATCACCCTTTGCTGTAGCATTGTTCTATTATCTAAAGGGACTAGGCTTTCGAGAGAATTTGGATCCTCCCGTTAAAACAGCGTAAGTTTTACTATACAGAACTTCATTTGTATCATTGTTGATATCCTTCTCTTTAACTTAGAACTTACTTTCTAGATACTAATAGCCATTTGGGTTATGCTGTTGCATATCTCTGGAATTTATTCTGTGTTTATTTTATAATCAATGGAAATCTTGCCATTGATTCGCTATACTCTTGGTTCATGCACAATGTGGTGGCACAATTTCGCATTCTCAAATTACATTTTAAAATCGATGCCAATACGGTTCGTCATCGGGGAGATGAAGAGGAATTTCGCCAGCTAATAGTTCATCGTATAAAACATCATTGTCGTGTTATTGATTTGGCTGAAAATTTCAATGATGTCTTTAAGATTATAGTTTTCCTAAAATTCACCATTAGTTGTATACAAATTGCTTTCCTGGCCTATCAATTTGCCCGGGGACGTGAACTGTCTGCGCAGTTATTTCATCTATCCTTTTTGATATCGGTTTCATTGCAGTTGATATTGTATTGTGGTGGCGGACAAAGGATTAAAGATGAGGTAAGTAGTGTTATCACGAATTATTAATGGGATTTTATAATTCTTTATTTATCTAGAGTACTTCGGTAGCTTTTTACATTTATGATTCTTTCAAATGGCATGATTTGAGTATAAAAACAAAAAAGCTGTTACTTATGCCTCTGATGAGAGCCCAAAAACCTTGTGTTGTGACTGGAGTGTTCTTTGAAGCCGACTTGAGTTTATTTATGTGGGTGAGTAGATTTTTGTTTTCGAAATCATGAAATGTTAAATATATCCTTCATAATTTTACATGAGAAACGGACCAGGTAGAAGTATTATATATCAATGAATAGGATATGTATGCTTTTGTAGTGGTCGACAATATGAAATTCATTTAAATCTGACTAATCTTATAAAAGTTACACTTTTATTTTCCTAAAGATTTTTTCTATACCACTGTGTGTTTTACGTTATTATTATATAGTTGGACTTAGCAACTAAGCATTTTCATTAGTTGCTTAATAATATACATATGTACATATTTTACATTTTTAACAACTTAATAGGTTTTCAAAACTGCTAGCTCCTTCATAACTATGCTTTTGACTCTCGAGGAAAAGGGGTCTAACTAAAACTAATGCTGAAAAAAACTAAATTTTCAAATTAATTTTAAAAGGAATTTATAATTAAGTTTATTCTTATATGTTGTGAAAATTGTTCTATGTAAATTGTTTGCAAATGCTTTGGTAACAAATTGTTAAAGTGTAATAAAAGTAAATTTGCGTAATAAATTGTTTAATCTTTTAGTATGGAAGTATTTATTTGTGTTGAAAAAAGGAATTTTAAATAATTTAAATCTTCAAAATTCACGTAAGTAGACATATTTATAAATATGATTTTTATACCTACTATAAAAAAGATGGAGAGTATATTGATTTTGTTATTTCGTTTGTAACACGTTTTGAAACATTGAAAAGTATATGTATATGTAAGTATATTATGGGTCCTAACGAAAAGCTAGGATGCAGAATTTTTATAAAAATATTCTCTATTACTAATAGTTTGTTTGTTATTAAAAATTATTAAATTAAATTAAATTATTATTAAAAATATGGGCCTTGGAATACAGTTTAAGAAGCTGTAACTGGATTAGAAGAGCGTTCACATTCGACATAAAATCTGTTACACGAACACAAATGTCTGCCCTCACTTAAAAGAATCGTCGTTCATGACCGATACAACTCGAGTATAAATGACGTGGGTCAAACAATGACACTTGTTGCTCTAAACAAACTATTGATAACTTTAAATCAATTGGAAAGTTTTTAAGGGAGAAAAGTGATGCACCTTTTCGACCTACTAGGACTGGATCACCATGGTTTTACTAACGGCTCTTTGCGTATATATGTTTATTTATGTTGCTGAATGTCGACATGATTTTCGACCTACTAGGGCCAATGGGTAAATGAGAGCAGATCAGACTTGATAGAGCCCTAGCACTTCTTCGGATTTGATGTAAAAATACATCCTACTAACTTACTAACTAACTAACTAACTAACTAACTAACTAACTAACTAACTAACTAACTAACTAACTAACTAACTAACTAACTAACTAACTAACTACTAACTACTAACTAACTAACTAACTAACTAACTAACTAACTAACTAACTAACTAACTAACTAACTAACTAACTAACTAACTAACTAACTAACTAACTAACTAACTACTAACTAACTAACTAACTAACTAACTAACTAACTAACTAACTAACTAACTAACTAACTAACTAACTAACTAACTAACTAACTAACTAACTAACTAACTAACTAACTAACTAACTAACTAACTAACTAACTAACTAACTAACTAACTAACTAACTAACTAACTACTAACTAACTAACTAACTAACTAACTAACTAACTAACTAACTAACTAACTACTAACTAACTAACTAACTAACTAACTAACTAACTAACTAACTAACTAACTAACTAACTAACTAACTAACTAACTAACTAACTAACTAACTAACTAACTAACTAACTAACTAACTAACTACTAACTAACTAACTAACTAACTAACTAACTAACTAACTAACTAACTAACTAACTACTAACTAACTAACTAACTAACTAACTAACTAACTAACTAACTACTAACTAACTAACTAACTAACTAACTACTAACTAACTAACTAACTAACTAACTACTAACTAACTAACTAACTACTAACTAACTAACTAACTAACTAACTAACTACTAACTAACTAACTAACTAACTAACTAACTAACTAACTAACTAACTAACTAACTAACTAACTAACTAACTAACTACTAACTAACTAACTAACTAACTAACTAACTAACTAACTAACTAACTAACTAACTAACTAACTAACTAACTAACTAACTAACTAACTAACTAACTAACTAACTAACTAACTAACTAACTAACTACTAACTAACTAACTAACTAACTAACTAACTAACTAACTAACTAACTAACTACTAACTAACTAACTAACTAACTAACTAACTAACTAACTAACTAACTAACTAACTAACTAACTAACTAACTAACTAACTAACTAACTAACTAACTAACTAACTAACTAACTAACTAACTAACTAACTAACTAACTAACTAACTAACTAACTAACTAACTAACTAACTAACTAACTAACTAACTAACTAACTAACTAACTAACTAACTAACTAACTAACTAACTAACTAACTAACTAACTAACTAACTAACTAACTAACTACTAACTAACTAACTAACTAACTAACTAACTAACTAACTAACTAACTAACTAACTAACTAACTAACTAACTAACTAACTACTAACTACTAACTAACTACTAACCTAACTACTAACTAACTAACACTACCTAACTAACTAACTACTAACTAACTACTAACTAACCTAACTAACTAACTACCAACTACCTAACTAACTAACTAACTAACTAAACTAACTAACTAACTAACTACTAACTAACTACTAACTAACCTAACTAACTACGTAACTAACTAACTAACAACTAACTAACTAACTAACTAACTACTAACTAACTAACTAACTAACTAACTAACTAACTAACTAACTAACTAACTAACTACTACTAACGAACTACTACTAACTAACTAACTAACTAACTAACTAACTAACTAACTAACTAACTAACTAACTAACTAACCTAACTACTAACTAACTAACTAACTAACTACTAACTACTACTAACTAACTAACTAACTAACTAACTAACTAACTAACTAACTAACTACTAACTAACTAACTAACTAACTAACTAAACTAACTACTAACTAACTAACTAACAACTAACTAACAACTACTAACTAACTAACTAACTAACAACTAATAACTAACTAACTAACTAACTAACTACTAACTAACTAAATAACTAACTAACTAACTAACTAACATAACTAACTAACTAACTAACTAACTAACTAACTAACTAACTAACTAACTACTAACTAACTAACTAACTAACTACCTAACTAAACTAACTAACTAACTAACTAACTACAACTAACTAACTAACTAACGAACTAACTAACTAACTAACTAAGCTAACTAACTAACTAACTAACTAACTAACTAACTAACTAACTACACTAACTAACTAACTAACTGACTGATCTGACTGACTGACTGACTAACTAACTAACTGGCAAACGAACACTCTTAGATCCGTTAATTCCACTTTCTGTTATCGTTTAACCAGTAGTTTTTCCCCGGGTTAAAATATTTTTTCTATTAATCTTCAGAGGAAGTTATTTTTTTTTGCATTACCTAATTAGTAAGAATGTATAGTTGGGCATTGGCTTAAGCAATACATTTTTTGAAAGAGTTGTTACACGGGGGCAAGGGTAAATATGGCTCTATCTCTTATAAGTTTTGATAGAGGTATTTACGTCTACATGAAACTTATTTATGCAGAATTTCATCGTGATGTTAGTGTTTATAACTAAGTGAAATTTGTGGTTGGAAAATGGCTTGAACATTTTCTGAAAGGGACTTTGACCCTAGCCCCCCTATCTAGGCAAAATAATGGCCAAATTTTATCAAATTGAAACTTATGACCTGTAGCATGAGAACAAAGTTTACATGGACGGACAGTCATATCAAAATCGACTTAGGTAGGGTTGGACCAAAATTTTTGCGTGTTACAAACATCACCACAAACGCATTGAGATAAAATTGTACAATATTCATTTGTTCAATAAAATTATAGTAATCACTTTTTCATAATTTGTAGACCGTTCATAACTGACCCAAGTCCCCACTGTACTAGTTCAAAGATGTTATTACAGAAATAGTTTATGTTCTATTGAACTGTGGTAGCAATATACGACTAGTGCCATGTTCTACAGGAAAAATTTTGTATTATTCATATACAATTTATTTAACAAATATTTTATTTACAATACAAAAATAACATATAATTTAAATTAAAGACGGTAATTACATATTTACAATTGTTTATAGAATGGGTGTTGCCAACAGTTTAACACAAAACGTCAATATTATTCCAAAAAAAGGGGTTAAATTTTATTAAAATAACAAAAATAAAGTCATTATACTGACCACTTTCGGCAGTAAAAGTTCATTAACTTTCGTTATGTTTTTTAAACCAGCTCCAGATGCTGTGCCCAACCAAGAAGGTATTAAACGTTATTTTTTCGTACAATCTTTTAGTTTTGCCTGTGTCGGTATTGATCCCACCTCATTGGAAAGAACAATTGTCAATACTTATATGGCTTGGTGGCCAATGATGTCTCTGCTATTTCTCTGTTTTCCCATTGTCATCTATGCCAGTCAATATATAACTGATTTGGATCTAGTAACGGATGCTTTATCGCCCATTTGGCAAGCAAGTTTGGCTATTATGAAATTAATGTATTTTATTTGGAATAAGGAGAAAATTATCAAATTAGTGCGTAGAATATGGCTAATGAATGTGAAGGGTAAGTTTGTTGGATTAATTAAAGGTTTAATTGATTTTTTATTATAAGAAGGCAGAAAAAAGAAAGTATTGTTGGTTATAAAACATGTGATAAGTCTGTTTTCTTAAACCTTTAGAAGAAAATACTTGGGCTTATATGTAAAAGTTTGTTGAATTATCAAGTTTTTGGCCGCTCGATTTCAATTAAAACTTTAATTGTTAAGTGAATTTTAATTATTTTTTGTTTGTTTTCAGCCACTGATGAAGAATTGAAAATATTATATGAAGAAAATCGTAGAGATACAAAATTTTCCACGGTTTACTATATAGTGGTTTTTACAACGGGAGTATTGGCTTTGGTTTCACCCTTTGTTATAGCATTTTTCTATCATCTAAAGGGACTAGGATTTCGTGAGAATTTGGGTCCTCCCCTAAAAGCAGCGTACGTTTTAAGTTTCTAAATTTCATTTCTATCGTCATTAATGTCTTTCTCTTTGCCTTTACAGTTACTTTCCGGATACTAAAAGCCATTTGGGTTATGCTATTGCATATCTGTGGAATGTATCTGGTATTTATTTTGTAATCAATGGAAATCTCGCCATTGATTCGTTATACTCTTGGTTCATGCACAATGTGGTGGCACAATTTCGCATTCTCAAATTACACTTTAAAAGCGATGCCAATACGGTTCGTCATCGCGGAGATGAAGAGGAATTTCGCCAGCTAATAGTTGATCGTATAAAACATCATCGTCGTGTTATTGAGTTGGAGGAAAATTTCAATGATGTCTATAAGATTATAGTTTTCATAAAATTCACCATTAGTTTTATACAAATTGCTTTCCTGGCCTATCAATTTGCCCGGGGACGTGAACTTTCTGCCCAGTTATTTCATCTATTCTTTTTGATATCGGTTTCAATGCAGTTGATATTGTATTGTAATGGTGGGCAACGGATTAAAGATGAGGTAAGTAGTATTTTTACGAATTATTAGAGGAAGTTTCTAACAATTTATTTACCTAGAGTACTTCGGTGGCGGTTTTCATTTATGATTATTTCAAATGGCATGATTTGAGTATTAAAACTAAAAAGCTATTACTTTTGCCCCTGATGAGAGCTCAGAAACCCTGTATTGTGACTGGAGTGTTCTTTGAAGCCGACTTGAGTTTATTTTTATGGGTGAGTAGTGCTTAATCAATTGGATTTCTTTCAAAATACAATTTAAGACTTGTTATAAATCTGACATAAACCATAGTCCATAATCAAAACTATTATAGGCTATTATATAGTCGGATTTATTCAACTATACTTTCTTATTTTTCCTTTTTAATAACTTAATAGGTTTTCAAAACTGCTGGCTCTTTCATAACTATGCTCTTGACTCTCGAGGAAAAGGAAACGACATAAAATAAATCTTTGATAAACCATTTTCTAACGTTAAAAGGGAATTAATAATTAAGTTTATATGTAAATTTTTGATGTCAAAATTGTTCTATGTAATTGTTGGCAAACGCTTTGTTAATGATTGAAATAAATGCTTAATAAATGTGTGTAAAAGATTATTTAATTTTGATTTTAGTATGAAAATACTTATTCGTGTTGAAAGATCAATAGCGGCTAAGAACCTTAAATAATTTGAATTCAAAATTTTCTCTTGAAGAAAAAAATGCGTCTACTACTTAAACCCAAATCTGCAGCAGATGCCCTACCGCCACAATATGGTTTAAAAACATATTTTGTAGTGCAAAACTTCGCTTTCAATTGTATGGGTATCGATGTGACATCACAGAATAGAACTATATTTAATCCATTCATAAACTGGATCTCCATGGCTTTACTAATGACTCTTTGCGTATTTATGTTTATGTATGCTGCTGAATATCGACATGATATGGACTTGATGACCGATATATTGGCACCATTTTGGCAAGCTGTCTTGGCTTTAATAAAAATGTGGGTTTTTGTCTGGAATAAGAAGAGAGTAGTGAAATTAGTGCGTCATATATGGTTGTGGAATTTGGAAGGTAATACATACATATATTTGGAAGGTAATATACTTATATTTAATAAGTTTTCTTAAAAACCATAGGTCGCGCTGATGAGTTGGATATCATAATAGACGAAAATCGTAAAGATTATTTTTATTCTAAATTATTTTTTCGCTTTGTTATGGCCACTGTAGTAATGGCGTTTTTGTCACCAATTTTAGTGGCATTTTTCTATTATTTAAAGGGTCAAGGATTTATGGATAATCTCGATCCGCCTTTAAAGGCAGGCGTAAGTAGTTTTATTTGGGTAACGTAACATGAATCATTATATATGATAAGGGTGTCTTGATTTTGTGATTTTCTTTTGAAACACATCGGAATATTATATATTCTAGTTCCTAATTTGATGCCGTTCGTTTCTACATGCCCGTCTGTCTGTTGAAAGAGCGATAGACCCCATACGGATGTATAAAGAGGACTCAATTCTTACATAAACTGATTCTCTATTGATCAGATTGGTTTGTTATTTTTAAATGATCAATGTAGTTAGTAGTTAGTATTAGTTAGTTAGTTAGTTAGTAGTAAGTTAGTATAGTTGTTAGTTAGTTAGTTAGTTAGTTAGTTAGTTAGTTAGTTAGTTAGTTAGTTAGTCTAGTTAGTTAGTTAGTTAGTGGTAGTTAGTAGTTAGTTAGTTAGTTAGTGTAGTTAGTTAGTAGTTAGTTAGTTAGTAGTTAGTTAGTAGTAGTTAGTTAGGTAGTTAGTTAGTAGTTAGTTAGTTAGTTAGTTAGTTAGTTGTTAGTTAGTTAGTTAGTTAGTGTTAGTTAGTAGTTAGTTAGTAGTTAGTTAGTTAGTTAGTTAGTTAGTTGTTAGTTAGTTTTCGTTCGTTTAGTTCGTTCGTTAGTTCGTTTTCGTTCGTTAGTTCGTTTAGTTCGTTCGTTCGTTAGTTCGTTTTTAGTTCGTTAGTAGTTCGTTCGTTCGTTCGTTCGTTCGTTCGTTCGTTCGTTTTCGTTCTTCGTTCGTTCGTTCTTCGTTCGTTCTTCGTTCGTTCGTTCTTTCGTTCGTTCGTTCGTTCGTTCGTTCGTTCGTTCGTTCGTTCGTTCGTTCGTTTTGTTCGTTCTTCGTTCGTTCGTTCGTTCGTTCGTTCGTTCGTTCGTTCGTTCGTTCGTTCGTTCGTTCGTTCGTTCGTTCGTTCGTTCGTTCGTTAGTTCGTTTTCGTTTCGTTCGTTCGTTCGTTCGTTCGTTCGTTCGTTAGTTCGTTCGTTCGTTCGTTCGTTTCGTTCGTTTCGTTTTCGTTGTGTTCGTTCGTTCGTTCGTTCGTTTTTCGTTCGTTCGTTCGTTCGTTCGTTCGTTCGTTCGTTCGTTCGTTCGTTCGTTCGTTCGTTCGTTTTCGTTCGTTTTCGTTCGTTTCGTTCGTTCTTCGTTCGTTCGTTCGTTCGTTCGTTCGTTCGTTGTTCGTTCGTTCGTTCGTTCGTTCGTTCGTTCGTTCGTTCGTTCGTTCGTTCGTTCGTTCGTTCGTTCGTTCGTTCGTTCGTTCTTTCGTTCGTTCGTTCGTTCGTTCGTTCGTTCGTTCGTTCGTTTTCGTTCGTTCGTTCGTTCGTTGTTCGTTCGTTCGTTCGTTCGTTCGTTCGTTCGTTCGTTCGTTTCGTTCGTTTCGTTCGTTCGTTCGTTCGTTCGTTCGTTCGTTCGTTCGTTCGTTCGTTCGTTCGTTCGTTCGTTCGTTCGTTGTTCGTTCGTTCGTTCGTTCGTTCGTTCGTTCGTTTTCGTTCGTTCGTTCGTTTCGTTTCGTCGTTCGTTCGTTCTTCGTTCGTTCGTTCGTTCGTTCGTTCGTTCGTTTCGTTCGTTCGTTCGTTCGTTCGTTCGTTCGTTCGTTCTTCTCGTTAGTTGTTAGTTCGTTAGTTCGTCGTTAGTTGTTCGTTCGTTGTTCGTTAGTTAGTTAGGTAGTTTTAGGTTAGGTTAGGTTAGGTTTTAGGTGTTAGTTAGTTCGTTTTGTTCGTTTATTCGGTAGGTAGGGTAGGTAGGTGGTAGGTAGGTAGTGAGGTTAGGTGTTTTAGTTGTAGTTGTGTTGTTGGTTGAAAACACCAATTAAAGGAATATATTGTTGGTTTAAAGATTGATTGCATCGTGAAATTAATAATTTCGGTGTAAGGTTGGTACTTTTGCAGAGACAATCGAATCCTTTAAGGACTGCCAGTGGAACTAAATGTTAGCCATGAATATGTTGAATATATTCTATGTGATTACATCTATTATGTTTAATGTTTCTCTCTTCCTGACCTCTCTTTAGATATTACATTGCCATGGATCCAAAATCATACAATGGATACATTTTGATCTATATTTGGAATATAATATCAGTTTGTTATATTTCAAATGGTGCAATAGCAAATGATACATTATTTTCCTGGATTGCCCACAATGTAACGGCACAATTTCGCATTTTAAATTTGCGCTTCAAAAAGACAGCAAATTCTTTAAGAAAACCGGGTGATGAACGCGAATTCATAAGATCTATTACACAACACATTAAATATCATCATCGTGTTATAGAATTAGCCAATAATTTCAATGATGTTTTCATGGTGACGGTATTCTTCAAATATACCATTAGCTTTTTGCAAATTGCCTGTTTGATATTTACAATTGCTCGTGGTGGTGAACTGGCAACATTGGTATTTCATATAGTGTTTTTAATAGCAGTTTCCATACAGCTGATGATGTATTGCCTTGGGGGCCAGAAGATAATAGATGGGGTAAATTTTGTTGTAATATATTATTGAAGAATAGTAGTTTTCTATTCCCTTTTTCAAAGAGTACCTCCGTAGCAGTCTCCATTTATGAGTATTTCCAATGGCACGATATGAGCATCAAATCTAAAAAGTTATTGCTTTTATCCATAATGAGAGCCCAAAAACCTTGTAATTTAACGGGTGTTTTCTTTGTGGCCGATTTACCTTTATTTTTATGGGTGGGTATTAAATTTACAAAAATTTTTATTAGTTTCTTTCATCAATTAAATGTATATTTTTTAATTTTAGGTCTTAAAAACATCTGGTTCTATGTTTACCATGCTGAAATCAATGGAAGCTTAAACAAGATTCAGGAGATTTATCTGACCCAAAACTTTTACCTTGCATATTTTGAATAGATTTAAAGGTACTGCTTATATATATTTTTGTTAGCTAAATTATTAAAACTAATGATAATTTTAAAGAATAAAAGTTAAATGTCTTAATATATGGTTAAATGTTTAATTACTTTGAATTTTAAATAAATTGCAATCAAATGCTTTTATTATGCATTTTTTTTATTATTTACAATAAATAAGTAATTAAATCTCATAATTTGAATAATTATTTTCTCTCAGTGGATAATCATCATGTTTGGCAAATGGTCCTTTGATCAGATCATGTGGCAAGTGCCTAGCCTTTATCAATGTTGTATTGCTGCAAGTGGCCTAGTCAGCAGGGCTGTCAGATATGAAGATTTCTCGCCAAACGTGACGTTTTTTGAATGTGTTTGGCTACGAAAACTTGCATTTGGGAAAACTATGGACTAGACTATAGACTAGACTATAGACTAGACTATAGACTAGACTATAGACTAGACTATAGACTAGACTATAGACTAGAATATAGACTAGACTATAGACTAGACTAGACTATAGGCTAGACTATAGACTAGACTAGACTATAGGCTAGACTATAGACTAGACTATAGACTTGACTATAGACTAGACTATAGACTAGACTATAGACTAGACTATAGACTCGAATAGAAACTAGGACTATAGACTAGCCTATAGACTAGACTATAGACTAGACTATCGACTAGACTATGACTAGACTATAGACTAGACTATAGACTAGATCATAGACTAGACATATAGACTAGACTATAGAATAGATAAGACTAGCTATAGACTAGACTATTAGGACTAGACTAGAGACTAGACTATAGACTAGACTTATGACTAGACTATAGGACTAGACTATAGAACTAGCTCTAGACTAGACTATAGACTAGACTATAGACTAGACTATAGACTAGACTATAGACTAGGACTATAGACTAGACTATAGACTAGACTATAGACTAGGACTAGAGACTAGACTATACCTAGACTATAGACTAGACTATAGACTAGACTATAGGACTAGACTATAGACTAGGACTATAGACTAGGACTATAGACTAGACTATAGACTAGACTATAGACTAGACTATAGACTAGACTATAGACTAGACTATAGACCTAGACATAGACTAGACTATAGACTAGACTATAGACTAGACTATAGACCAGACTATAGACTAGACTATAGACTAGACTATAGACTAGACTATAGACTAGACTTTAGACTAGACTATAGACTAGACTATAGACTAGACTATAGACCAGACTATAGACTAGACTATAGACTAGACTATAGACTAGACTATAGACCAGACTATAGACTAGACTATAGACTAGACTATAGACTAGACTATAGACTAGACTATAGACTAGACTATAGACTAGACTATAGACTAGACTATAGACTAGACTATAGACTAGACTATAGACTAGACTATAGAGTAGACTACAGACTAGACTATAGACTAGACTATAGACTAGACTATAGAGTAGACTACAGACTAGACTATAGACTAGACTATAGACAAGACTATAGAGTAGACTATAGACTAGACTATAGACTAGACTATAGACTAGACTATAGACTAGACTATAGACTAGACTATAGACTAGACTATAGACTAGACTATAGACTAGACTAGACTATAGACTAGACCATAGACTAGACTATACACTAGACTATAGACTAGACTATAGATTAGACTATAGACTAGACTATAGACTAGACTATAGACTAGACTATAGACTAGACTATAGACTAGACCATAGACTAGACTATAGACTAGACTATAGACTAGACTATAGACTAGACTATAGACTAGACTATAGACTAGACTATAGACTATAGACTAGACTATAGACTAGACTATAGACTAGACTATAGACTAGACTATAGACTAGACTATAGACTAGACTATAGACTAGACTATAGACTAGACTATAGACTAGACTATAACTAGACTATAGACTAGACTATAGACTAGACTATAGACTAGACTATAGACTAGACTATAAACTAGACTATAGACTAGACTATAGACTAGACTATAGACTAGACTATAGACTAGACTATAGACTAGACTATAGACTAGACTATAGACTAGACTATAGACTAGACTATAGACTAGACTATAGACTAGACTATAGACTAGACTAGACTAGACTATAGACTAGACTATAGACTAGACTATAGACTAGACTATAGACTAGACTATAGAGACTATAGACTAGACTATAGACTAGACTATAGACTAGACTATAGCTAGCTATAGACTAGACTATAGACTAGACTATAGACTAGACTATAGACTAGACTATAGACTAGACTATAGACTAGACTATAGACTAGAACTATAGACTAGACTATAGACTAGACTATAGACTAGACTAGACTACTAGACTAGACTATAGACTAGACTATAGACTAGACTAATAAGACTAGACTATAGACTAGACTATAGACTAGACTATAGACTAGACTATTAGACTAGACTATAGACTAGACTATAGACTAGACTATAGACTAGACTATAGACTAGGACTATAGACTAGACTATAGACTAGACTATAGACTAGACTATAGACTAGACTATAGACTAGACTATAGACTAGACCATAGACTAGACTATAGACTAGACTATAGACTAGACAAACTATTGACTATATATAGTATACGTTATAGATTAGACTTTAGACTTATATACATACATATTACTATAAATTTCATTTAAGTAATATTATTGTACAAAATAACATACATATGTGCATACATATGTACATGTAATTTAAATTAATTACGGTACTTACATATTGACATTTGTTTATTCAATGGGTGTTGCCAACAATTTAACACAAAACGTCAATACTTTGTAAATGGTAATAATTAAAAGAGTACAAAAATTATTAACATACCCACAATCGAATCATAATGCAGGCCACTTTCGGTAGAAAATGTTCTTAAATTTTCGTCCAAAAAGCACAACTACAATGTTTTTTAATTCAGCTCCAGATGCTGTACCCAAACAGGAAGGGATTAAGGGTTATTTTTTCGTACAATCTATTAGTTTTGCCGCTATCGGTATTGATCCCACCTCATTGGAAAGAACAATTGTTAATACGTGTATGGCTTGGTTGCCAATGATGTCTACGTTGACTCTCTGTTTTCCCGTTGTCATCTATGCCAGTCAATATATAAGCGATTTGTATCTGGTAACGGATGCTTTATCGCCCATTTGGCAATCAAGTTTATCTTGTATGAAAATTATGTATTTTATTTGGAAGAAGGAGAAAATTATCAAATTGGTGCGTAGAATATGGCTGTTGAATGTGAAAGGTAAGTGGGATTTTAATGTTAATTAGGAATTTTGTTGGATTAATTAAAATTTTACATAATTTTGCTCAAAAAGTGTATGTTAGGGGTTATTGCTACAATTTGAGATGACTGAAGTTTTATTATAAATTTTAATTTTTGTCTGTTTTTATTTTTCAGCCACTGATGAAGATTTGAAAATATTATATGAGGAAAATCGTAAAGATATACAATTTTCCACTGTTTACTATATAGTTGTTTTTACAACAGGTGCATTGGCTGTGGTTTCACCCTTTGTTATAGCATTTTTCTATTATCTAAAGGGACTAGGGTTTCGAGAGAATTTGTATCCTCCCGTAAAAGCAGCGTAAGTCTTAATATACAAGTGTTAATTTGTATAATTTTTGATGTCTTACTCTTTACGTTTACAGTTACTTTCTAGATACTACCAATAGCAATTTGGGCTATGCTATTGCATATATCTGGAATTTATTCGGTATTTATTTTGTAATCAATGGAAATCTTGCCATTGATTCGCTGTACTCTTGGTTCATGCACAATGTGGTGGCACAATTTCGCATTCTCAAATTACACTTCAAAATCGATGCCAATTCGGTTCGTCATCCGGGAGATGAAGAGGAATTTCGTCAGCTGATAGTTGATCGTATAAAACATCATTGTCATGTTATTGAGTTGGCTGAAAATTTCAATGATGTCTTTAAGATTATAGTTTTCCTTAAATTCACCATTAGTTGTATACAAATTGCATTTCTGGCCTATCAATTTGCCCGGGGACGTGAACTGTCTGCGCAGTTATTTCATCTATCCTTTTTGATATCGGTTTCATTGCAGTTGATATTGTATTGTGGTGGTGGACAAAGGATTAAAGATGAGGTTGTATTATTAGGAATTTTTAATGGGATTTCATAACTATTAATTTATCTAGAGTACTTCGGTAGCTTTTTACATTTATGATTCTTTCAAATGGCACGATTTGAGTATAAAAACAAGAAAACTATTACTTATGCCTCTGATGAGAGCCCAAAAACCTTGTGTTGTGACTGGAGTGTTCTTTGAAGCCGACTTGAGTTTATTTTTGTGGGTGAGTGGATTTCTTTCGAAATCATGAGATGTTAAATATTTTATCTTTAATTTTGCATGTGAAAAGTACAAGGTAGACGTACTATATATCATTGGATAGGAAATTAAGTCTACTTTTTAGAAATGTATGTCTTTTGCAGTGCTAGAAAATCTTTCCCCTTTGAACAAGTGAAATATAATTCAAATCGGTCTAATCTTTTAAAGTTACACTTTTATTTCCCTAAATATTTTTTCTGTACCATTGTTTGTTTTAGGGTATTATATAGTTGGACTTAAGCGACTAAAAATTCTTATTTGTTTCATGTACATATTTTTCCTTTTCAATAACTTAATAGGTTTTCAATACTGCTAGCTCTTTCATAGCTATGCTTTTGACTCTCGAGGAAAAGGGGACGAAATAATTCTAATCCTGGAAAGCTAAAAAGGAATTAATAATTAAGTTTATTCATATATATTTGTTGTTAAAATTGTTCTATGTAAATTGTTTGCAAATGCTTTGGTAATAATTTGTTAAAGTGTAATAAAAGCTTAATAGATACAAGAGT